AATAATTTATTTTTAAATTATTTTTCACTTATTATTTTAATTTATAGAAGAAATTAATATGCTTGGACTTCCTTTGAATATTATGCAAGATGATACAGGCAGTTTTTTTTGTCTTTCTGCTGCTGCAGCCATGGCATGGCTGTTGGGTTGATGCTGACCAGAGTTGCTTACAAGTTTTATAATGGCTATAAGAACTCATGTTGTAAGTCACTGGGAATGTGCTTTCAACAGGCTTATTGTCAACCCTTGGAGAGTGATGAAGGGCTGGGGCATCAGGAAGAGTCACCCTCATGTGACACCTCAGGGCTGTCCCAGCTCTGAGAAGTGTCTCTGGGCTGCTTTCAATAACCTCTTTCATCGTGCAGTGGCTGTGGGGGCCTGCCCAGACCCCTGCAAGATGACATTACAGCTTTTTCCCTGCTGTCCATGGTAGTTTTCCAGGCTAATTGCATGCTAGTCTGGCCCCATCCCCTGCTGCTTGCTATCCACACAGCAATGGCTGTACAAAAACCACATAATGCTCTTAAGAGCAAGTGGGTAGTTGTCACACTAATGCCTTCCTCCCCTGAATACCCCTGGCACCAGACCAGGCAGGACTGTGAGCAGAGCTTGCCAGTTGTTTAAGTGGTCTCTCTCAATCTGAATTAAAATAATTAAAATTCCTGGTGGATCATAGGTTGCAGTCATGACAACAAATTTCATCCCTTTCTCTTCTTTCTGTAATTGTCTTGTAATTCAGATATGGAGCCAAACAAAGCCCTTCAAACGTTTTTCAAAAACCCTTATGTTTCAGGTAATAGTGGCAATAAATGAAAAAGCAGAATAAATGGTCATCAGCATTTTGATGACTGTATGTTTTATACCTGGTTTTGTCTTAGGAAACTGGAAATGTCTTGACTGTGCAAGTCAGTAGGGCTTTTGTTCAGTGATATTAGAGGGAATTTTGCTAACCTAAAAGAAGTGGGGATAATCACTAACAGGAGTTCTTGTGCAGTCTATACCTGTAATAGTTAAAGGGAAGGCTGCTGAAATTTATTCTGACAATTGCAGATACAGCATTGGAGGAATCATTTGAATTATTCATTCTACAACAAGGAAACAACCCACTTGTCTTCTCTTTAGAAATGAAATCTCCATCTGCTTTAAAATATACTTTTATAGGTTGCTTTCCCATAATTTTGCTGTTTCAAGACTTCTATTATAATTATCCTTGAATGTAGATTTTAAAAGAAAATTATTCTGATTTCTAAAGGAAAGGATAAACTGATTTCTTACATGAACTGCTACTTGTAGAATAAGTTTAATGAAATTCAGCTTTCTTTCATAAATAATGCAGCACTTGCATTTCATTAGGTGAAGCCTAGAGGAATTTCTACCTAATCAGATGCATAGCAAGAAGGATATTGCCTGCAGATTGTTACCATTATCAGTGGTGGTGGCAAGGAAAACACAGCCCTATATATATCCAGATAAAAAGCTTTGTTTCTTAAGAAAAGTTGCAAAACAAGCTAGATGTGTTCCAACAATTGATCTCTTGCATCCCAGTGTCTTCACAGTGATGGTTTATAAAATGAAGTGTGGATTCTGAGTATTGCCATTATTGTGGCACACAGAAGACTCCAGGTTAATTGGAGACCTTCCTGCCTTGGTATGTGTTTCTAACCCTTCTAAGAAATGAATACATTTTTCATATGAATGAAGAATGAGGAAGAGACAATGTTTGCATTAGAGAACTTAAAATCAAAACAAGTTAAAGCTGAATATAAGGATTCATTGAGATAATTCCAGAAGTCTTGATGAGCAGCACAAATCTCCTGATAACTTCAAAACAGGAGAAGTATATGTGTCTCCCTCCATTACAACAACAAATTACCTGCAGCAAAAGCAAACAAGTTTGGTGTATCTGCAAGTCTTGCAGAACCATTTTGAAAGTTCTTGAGTAAATGTTGCTTCATTTGGTAGCTTGTGGTCAAGTTTTGTGCCCCTGCATAAATCCTGCCACAAGACTATTCTGCTGTGTTTTTATTCCCAGTGAACTGTTGTTAACAGCAGTGGGTGTGCCTGAACAAAGGGCAGTTTAAATAGGGCTGCCAGTCCTTTACTCAACATCCATATTAATAAATAAAACAATGATCTGGTGCACATTCTTTAGCCCTGAGGTCAACTGGCATAAATTGACCTGGAAATATTCAGTAAATGTTTGTATCCTCTGAGAGACAGTGGCCAAGTCCAAGTTGGCTTTTGGGACCAAACCCTGATCTGGGCTCAGGCCTGGACCATTCCTGGGACCTATTTGAGGGTGGTGTGAAAGCAGCATAAACAGAAAGAGGGAAGGTTTAGATGGGATTTTAGGAAGAAATTCTTTCCTGCAAGAATCTTGAGGCACTGGAGCACATTGTTCATAGAAGCTGTGGATGCCCCATTCCTGAAAGTGTCCATGGCCTCGTTGGCTGGGGCTTTGAATAACCTGGTCTGGTAGAAGGAGTCCCTGCCCATAGTGGCTGGGCATTGGAACAGAGGGTCTTTAAGGTCTTTCACATCCCAAAACATTCAATCATTCAATGATTCTGTAACAGCATGGATGGTCACGGGCTCGGACTCTGGCTCTGGTTACCTCACCAGAGGTAATGCTCTCTTAGGCCTGGTTGTTCTGCTGAACTCAGTTGAGTGGCAGCTTGCTCTACCACCATAACAAAGAAATATTCCAAATAAAATATCTGGAGAGAAATAAAAGAGTAGCAAAGCCCGACACCACCACCTTATCTTGCTGTGGTCAGAATTTCTGGTAACTTTTGTTCAGACATGTAAAATTGCAGATCTCATAAGTTCTTCAGGCTAGATGCTAGGCAGGTAATTTGTGCTTGCTGAGGTTCTGGGTTTTCACTTACATTTCTTGGAAAGGGCAATGAGATGTAATGAATAAATGTAAAACACAAGAAATAGAGTCCAGGATACATGGGAGATGTGTTTGCATCCTGTGATTTGCTGTTGAGAGGTTTTAGCACTGAACTCAGAAGTGTATTTTATGGAGCTGCTGGTCAGAACTGTGCAATTTAAAGGTAAAATCCGTTCCCTTTTTTAATCTTGAGTTTTCATTCCACTCCAAATTGGTGCAAGCAAATCTCCTGGGCCTAAAATGCCACAGGAGCACTAAAGGCCAAGAACAGAATTAATTTCTGAAAGTTTGAGAGAAAAACCATCAGGTTTAGGGTTGTAAAATGTTAATCTGTTTCTGACTTTCCCAAGAATTGCCTGAAATCCTTTTGCCCACTCATAACTCAAGTGACTTCATGTCAAATACTGGAGCTGTTTTATGTGTGAGTACTGACAGAAGTAGTGCACACTTTTATCATAGCCATCTGGTAAAAAAGGCTGAAAAATTTAACTCCCAGACCTTTTTCTTGGTCCAAAACAATGTCAAAATCCCTTGGAGGAAATGGGAAACAAGACTGAGCCTGTGGTCATTTGCCCTAAGATGTTCTTTGTTCAAGATTCAAGTTTTTAAAAAACACGTGGCTGCATCCCTGAACAATTTCTCATCAAATGTGTGGCTTTTCAGTCCTTATTTGCTAGGTGAAAAAAGGACTTGAGCTTTTCTCTTACTTAATGGTAGGAAACATCCTGGTTTTGTTAGTGGTTCATGTCCATTTCTCCCAGAGTTCCCTTGAATGCTTCCAGCTTCACCCCCAAATAAGACCTTGCCAAAATAATTTATGAGCTGTGGAGTGAAAATGTGACTGATACAAATGTTGCAGAAGTGTATAAAATGCTAAATTATTCATGGTGCTTAAGCACAGAAAATGCTAGGGCTGAATTGACATAGTGCAAGACTCCAGGCAAATAAAACCCCAAACCTCACAGTGGAAAGTCTTGGATTAAAAACAATTGCAAACTTTAGTCAGGCTATACTATAGAGTCTTAATCCTTTCTACCTTTAAATGCCCCTTCTCATGCTGTACCCTGTGCTTTCATGGCCAACTACTTTTAATGTCATTTTCCACATCATTTTCCCATGATCAGGGAGCTAAGGCAAAGAACTGTCAGATGCCTTGGTCTCAGAGCCTCAGACCTTCTCACACAGCTGGTCTCCAGGGACCTCTGTGAGTGTCTGTCAAAAACTTATTTCCTTATCATAATGACCCTCAGTTTTCACCTACCTATCACACAAAGGGTCCTGGGTGCTTTCATCAAGCCCTGGATCACTTCCACCTCTGGAGTTTTCTGGCAAAAGACCTACAAACTAAAATATTAATGTAGGAGCAGAACTTTGAGAATTTAAACTGCTGAATGGACCATGACCTGCTGCCTAATTTGTGGAGAGTTTTAACAGAGATGCATTGGACTCAGTGATGTAACTGAAAGAGGCAGATGTGAAGATTAACAGGTCAGATAAAAGGAGAACTGTACTGAACCAAATGCTGCAAGAAGCTTAGAGAATTCATACTGTTAAGCAGTCTGGTTCCAGATTCTTTTACCATTTTGCTTGGTCCTGAAAGCATTGCTCAACACCTGATTTCAGGTTTCCTTTTGCACTTTTTTATCAGTTTTATTGTGAAAAAAAAATTTCAAAAACCCAACAAATAATTTTAAACAGTGTTGTGTTGGATTCTGTGTATATCAAAACCTATTTCCAGTGGAAACATTTATTTGACAAGGCGGTTCTTGCTTTTTGCAAAAGCATTTTGAATAAAAACATTCAGGCTCCTTTAGTCACTATGCCTTTTGCTTGAAGGGTATGATAGGTTTTCAATTTGTTCCATTTGTTTCCAAATGTTCCATTTTGCCCTGGAGATACATAGGAACCATAGGAAATCTGATGAGGAGTTGAAAAGGGTCCTCAGGATCCCAACTGACCTGCAGCAAATTAAGGGAAGAGAGGGTTTTTTGGCTGACATTCTTCCCTCTATTGAGTGCCAAACAGCATTGGTGGCAGAGTCAGCCACATCAGCTTTATTTGTCAGTGAATGAGCATCTGTAACTTGCTGTTCCATTTTTGCCAGGCTGTACCCTCGTCACGCAAGTGCTCTCAACAACCTGGGGACGTTGACCAAAGACGTGGTGGAGGCCAAGGACTATTACAGACGGGCCCTGCAGCTCAACCCCCAGCACAACCGAGCTCTCTTCAACCTCGGCAACCTGCTCAAGTAAGTTCACTGCAGGTGGGGCACAGAGAAAATTCACATTGCCTCTGCACACATCACCCAAGTAGGTTTTTTTCTGCTAGCTGGTGAAGAAATGGTGTCATTTCTTAGTGCCATCCAGAAGTGCTGGCACAAAGGTGTGGTTTATTGTGGATGTCCCTGTGCTGTGTGCCACATCACTCCAGGTGCTGTTCACGAGGGTGTTCCAGTTGTAGGAAATTCATTTGTTCCAGGCATCAGAAATGAGTTGCCTAAACCCAGCTAGGCACCTGAGATCCCCATCCTGGTGGAGATGTGTGAACATTTCCAGGAGAGGAAGTTGTATTGTTCAAAGGTAGGCATCAGATGCCGAGCTAATAAATAACACGTTTCCAAAAAATCCCTCTCTTCAAGTTCCCGCTTCTCCTCATTAGCTGTATATGTATTGTTGTATAGTTTAGGCATAAGCACCTTGTGCTGAGTTGCTCAGAGCAGCAGAGTTCATTTCCTTGCAGAGCAGGTAGGTCTGGATTTGAGGAGAAGGCTGGTTTACATTCCTGAACAGTTAAAAACAAGTTGATGAGCTCATTACTTCACTTGTTGTTGTTTAGAGTGTCAGTCTGTAGCAAGGAGAATAGCAGACAATCATAATCATGCAAATTAATTTGACTAACCACATCTAAAGACTAAACTTAGATCTGTACAAGAAGCCAGTATGATAAGATCTGCAAAGGGTTCAATTAAAAAAAGTAAAACATCTCTGTTTAGCACCAGCAAAAAGGTCCTTGGTTTTGTGAGGATATTGTGATGTATTTGCTGTCAGAACTGCATAAACTACAGCAGTAAAAGTACATTTTTTCTCATATGAACTGCTCTTATTTTGCTGATAATAGGTCTTGGTAAATCTTTTAGAGCAGACAGTGCTGGTTAAACCATGACAGGCTTAGTGTGGAACTGGTTTTAAAACTTGGTCTTTCTGGTCTTGAAATGTAACTTTGAGAGTGTGGATTTGTATAAAGGATGTTAAGTGGGCTGCTGAACTCCCTGGTCTGTTCAGAAGCAGAGAAATTATCAGAATAATATTACAAGTAAATCTATTGGTTTGTGGTTAGAATATGGGAAATGAGTAATCTTAAATAGAAAGTTGTGCTTTACTGGAAATACAAGGAAGGAAAGTGGTACAGTCATGTTACAAGAGAAAAGAAAGGTCTTTGTATTATGTGTGGTTGATTGAAATTATTTTAGGTGGCAATGGTGTTTAAAAATACATATTGTCTTTTAAATCCATCATGTGTACCTTAGTTATTATTCTCTGTTATGTTTTGGAGGGTTTTTTTTAAATATAAAATATTAATACAAATGATCTGAGACAGTAGAATCACTGGGACATTTCATGTCAATTATGCTTAAATCTGGCCTGTCAAAGGGCTCTTATGACCCAGCAGATGGACAAAAACTGGACTTGTTGCACTGGAAAAGCACAAAGGAGATGTGTAGGGAAAATGTCTTAGAAATGCTGTTTGTTTTCTGTGCAATATGTCATGTTTTTCACATTGTGATGCCTAAGATATTGTGTGTCCTGTTGGATTGGCTGTGCTCTGCATCCTTCTGTGGTGCCACATTTTGCAGTATGTTAAATGTGGGTGATGCTTGTGCTAAACTTGTCAAAAGCAAGCACTCAGGATCCTCCTGCCCTTTCCCCACATCCATTTGTTCCCATTTTCTAAACTTCCTTCAGGCTTCCAAAACAATGTAGTGCATCTGGACACAGCAGTAGTGTTAATTGTATTGGAAGCTGAGTGCCCTCATCTCCCTGCTCAGTTTTAAAAAACCTGCTAAAAAATAGGTGGAGCTTGCAGTGCAGGAATTAGCACATATGTGAGGTAGGTGCTCTGTGGGCAGATCCTGTATGAATGTCTCCCCTAAAACAGGATCCCAAACCCTTTGGCCAGCACCTTTCCTAGATGATCCAGCAGCTTAGCAAAGAACATCAGCCATGCTGGAGCATGAGGTACCTTCTGAGATGACCAGACAGGTACAAGGCAGAGATTTCACATTTCCCCTTCCTACAATGATGTCTTTATTTATATTTTCTACCTGTGTCTACAATTATCCTTTCATATATATATAAATGTGCATATATATGGCAGCCAGTATTCTGCAGACACTAAATGCTAGTATAATATGAGTAATAAATTAAATAAAATGGAAATCTGCAGAATATTACAGATAGATATTACTTTCTGGCTATGTTATGAAACATTACGAAGAGTGTTTTGATTTTTAAACATATGTCAGAGAGAAGATAAATGGTCAAGCAATAAAAGCATTTTCTGTCTTCTTTACAATGGCTTCAGAGCATGGGGCAGATCAGGAGGGGACAGATGTGCAACACTTTAGGCATGTCCACAGCTTGTACTGGGACATGGAATGGAATTGTCTGGCATGGGGAACCCCCAGTTGAATTCTGCTGAGTTCCCTGTACCCATCCCTGCTCACAGTGTGCAAATCTGATGGCAGATCCTAGATTTCATCTTCTCTGGAGTGCTAAGATGAGGGAAGTCCAGGATTTTGGAAGGATGGGTTTGTCATTGCCATGTGGGAATCTGCCCTTCATTATTCCATGCAAATAAGCTATTTAAGCATCCATTGCTTGTGATTTAAACTTGAGTAAAAACTGTTTTGAGGACATAGGGTGGAATTTAGAAGTTATTTTCTGTGGAAGTCATAGATGAAAAATGATGTTTCCATTTTCTGTTTGCACATAAAGAAGACAGCTATGTGCCAGAAGATGAATGTTCTCAGGAAGTATTGCAGGGTAATGGCTGAATAAACCTCTGGTTTTGTTTACATATCCTAAAATAAAGTTGTATGTCATCATTTTTGTGCCTAATATAAATACTGGAGAGCAGATAATTAAACAATGCCGGCAGATTTCTTACTTAAAATAGACCTGGAAGATGGTCTACCTAAAAGTAAGAAATCTCTCTGCTTTCATGGTCTGTGTGATCAGTGACACAGAGCAGCCTGATGCTGCTTTCTTCTGTTTTGAGTATTTGACCCTCTGTATAAATTCAGATTCGTTGAGATACAGATAAATATTGTTCAGAATACCTCATAAATTTATAGGCTGTGGGTATTTCTGTAAAGAGACAAGAAATAATATATTATGAACATTTGAAATGAATATCAATCTCAGCTTTCTGTTGCAGGAATAATGGATAAGACCTTCTTATTTGTGGTAGTGTATCAATCCACACCTAAAGCACTGCAATATCCAGTACCCTGCTCCTTATGAAGAAAGGCCTCACATGCTTTGAGAGTGTTATGGCTTCATTTTCAAGGGGAAAATGAAATGCCTAGAAGCAATCTCCACTGAATCTCGAGTTTACTCAAAGGACTGATTTTCTTCTGGATGTGGAGAAACACACAACGTGTCCTGAGTGTTTGTTGTTGTGATTTAGTCCCAGTTGAGCAAAGCCATTTATTCAGAAGAGGAAGGGCTGTCTGCCCTCTCTGATACAGGCTTCTGATGTGAGTGTGCTGACACAGCCTTGTGGAACTGTCTGGAACAGATAGATAGATAGATGTTTTTCTATCTGAAAAACATCAGATAGAAATTACAAGTATTGAGATTTAAGACCTTTTAGCAAGTGAAATGTTCCTTCCTTTCCTTCAGAAGCAAACTGAGTGGTGATGTTCAGTGATACTGAATGGTCTCTGCAGGATACTCTGTGTCTCATGAAGTGCTGCAGTTATCCCTCAGTATCACAATACACATTGGAGACTGGTTGAAAAACCCCACAAACTCCGGCAGTCTAATTTTTGCAGTAGATTGAAAAAATAACTTAGGTTGTTGTTATAACCTAGGGTCCCTAGAGATCATTTGGAGATCAAGCTAGCTGCTCAGAGCAAGTCTGATTGGATCAGATTGTTCAGGGCTGTGTCCAGCTGAATCCTGGATCCCTCCAAGGACAGAGATGCCACAATCTCTCTGTGTGACCTGTTCCAGTGTTTGACCACCCTTGTGGTGAAAAATACTTTTCCTGCTATCTAATCAGGATGTTCCTACTCTGGCATCTGTTGTCCTGTCATTGTGCACCTCTGCAAGAGTTTGGCTCTGGCTTTTCTGTATCCTTGTAAAAATTTGTTCAGAACAGTTGTGGGGCCTTTGTTGATTTCTGTGTTTCTGGCTTTAGTACAGTCTCAATAACTAAACAAAATAAAAGATGAAAGTTACCAAGTCCTTTAGAGCACTAATTCCTGGGTTGCTCTCTGCTGCAGATGAAATTTGCTGCAGTGGTAGCAGCCCTGTGCATTGCCAGGCTTTGGCAGGGTGGTTTAACCTGGTGCTTCTCCAACTTGCAAAAATATGGGAGAGATGCTCTCAGTGGAAAGAGCTGTTCCTTGAGCATGCTGTTTGTAGAGGCAAGGCTGTGAGCTCAGGTGGGAGAGGGAGTCAAGAGAGGGCTTTATAAAACACGGTAATTTGGGTAAAAAGTTGGAATAAGTGGTCACAGATTGCTCCTGTCAGTTGAATTTGTTCTTCTCTCTATCACAGTAAAGACATACATTATCTAACTATTTCTGCTCCAGATCCCCAGTTTATGGTAAATTAGTGTATTGGACTGCTCTTTCAATGCTCTATGCTCTCCCAAATTGCAGGAGATTTTATATGAGATGGCCTTGATCCTGCAAAGTGTTGGCCTTGAGCCAGGAAAGCACTTCAACCAGTAATTAATTTTCAACTTGCATGCATAAAAGTTAAGTACACATTTAAGTGCTTGGCCAGAGCACTTGGTATCTTGCAGGCCTAAGCCCTCTGAGAAACTACTGGATCTGCTTTTTTAAATGTGATTCAGTCTGTCACATAAAAAGATGCCATCATCTTTCCCTTTACCCCCACTTTCAGGAGACAAACATTGTCCTTGGATCAAATGGAGAAAAAAAAGAGGCCATCTTGGAATAAAAGAGTAATTAAGAGGGCTGCCCCATGTTCAGAGTGAATGCTTGTGGTTAATGGGAACTTTTACTGCTGTTGAATGGATCACTTAATCCTTTTATTTCTGTAGCAGGCATTTCCTACATTTTCTGCCAAGCATCAATACCTTTATTAAGCAGTCATCTGGTTTTGATTTATAAAAATGTGTCGTGTAACTCCAGCCAAGGGATCCCAAAGTTTTATAAATTGACAAGCTAGCTAGACTTTAATTAGTGTAGGAGAAAAGTGGTTCTTTATTTGTTTTTGCTTCATTCGTGTAATTTATGTGGAACAGCACTGGAAGAAGAAAAAGGCTAGCACGACTGGTTTTACTTAGCTTAATGCACAGGCAAAATATTCTTCCAGTTACACAACTAGAAAGGGGAAAAATCTGCAAAGCCACATATATTATCAGCTGAAATTTGCACCTTATAAACAAGATCTGGTTACTTGACCATGCCACTCAGATGAAATCCAAGGCCAAAGCAGCAAGGTGTTCACATATTTTCTGTTTCCCCAGAGCCCTTTGTTTCTTTTTCTAAGCTCTCCTATTCGTATTCTTTGTATGCCCAGCACAAGAAAAATGTTGTTTCAGCCCAGCTAAACATCCTTAGATGTTTGTTCAGGAAACCTTCTCATTTTTCAAAGGGGAGAAATTGTAGCTCAAATAAATAAACATCCCAAGATTTTTGTTAGGGAAACCTTTTCCATTTTCCATAGCAATAAATGCAGAGCAATGCTAGGAAAAACCCATCAGCACAGCCACCTTTCAGCTGTCTCTGTTCATAATCCTTGGGATCTGAAGGACAGAACTCCTCCAGCCTAATCATTGACTTGCTAAGGAATTATTTAGAGATTCCAGGCAGATTTAACTTGCAGATATTTTAATTTCAAAATAATGGAGTTGCAAGTGGATCTGTAAGAGCACTTGTTTAGGACCTGCAGAGTCTCCTCAAGGTTTTAGTAAAGGAAATGAAGGATTTCAGTGTCTCCAGCCCACTGAAGTGAATGTCCTGTTCCCAGATCACAGTGCCTCCATCCTCTCGGTGCCCTCCCTTCAGATACTTAACTGTATTGATTCATTAAAGCCTCTGTCCTGAGGAAATCCTGGGTGCTCACATTGTGGAGAGGAGGTGTGAATGAATCATTTGTCTTTGTTGAAAAGGGCAAGCCGGGCGCTTCCACTTCTCTTTAAAGTAGTTAAACAGTGGGATAACCTAAACAAGTGCTTACAGGAATATTCCTTTCTGGGTTTTTTTCTCTCCTTCCTGCAGGTCCCAAGGGAAGAAGGAGGAAGCTGTAATCTTGCTGCGGGACTCCATTAAGTACGGCCCGGAGTTCGCAGATGCTTACTCAAGCCTGGCCTCGCTCTTGGCTGAGCAGGTAACAGGGATGGCTCGGGTTCTCTGCCTTGGTGTGCATGCACTGCTGCCACAGCCCCTCCTGCACCTCCCAGGCCTGCACTGCTGCCACAGCTCCTTCTGCACCTCCCAGGCCTGCACTGCTGCCACAGCCCCTCCTGCACCTCCCAGGCCTGCGCTGCTGCCACAGCCCCTCCTGCACCTCCCACCCTGCCTCACTCAGCCGTGGTGGCAGGCGTGGGTCCACGCTGTCTGCACAGAGCTCTCAGGCTGCTCTGCAGATGGCTTTTCCAGGATGGGAGGCAACTCATCCACAGTGGGTAATTACACCCACATGGTGTGGCTCTGAATTAAATCACTGCTGAAGTTGTGAGTAAATCCCCTCCCTGCCTCTGTGGAGAAGTCTTAATCCATGGCACCTTGGATGTTGTGACAGCAGGAGAGGCGAGCTTCCCCTCACACACACACACGCCTACACAGATAGCCTGGAGATTGCATAATAAATCATTACAGAGCTGGGGGTTGTCAGGCACCAGGTGGCCTCTGCAGCCCAGATTCTGCCCCTTGCACACACACACACACACACAGGGCACAGCCCCTGATTACCATGGCAAATAATCACAAGCAGGGAGGTGGGAAGGCTCCCTGGCTTTATGTTGCTCTTAATGAGTGGCTATTCAATATTTTATTTAACCTCGTGGTTCAGGTGCCTCCAGGCCTTATTTGCTGTGCATGGCCCAGGCTGTGCTCTGGAGGCAGGATTACTCATTTCCTCTCAGGCCTGTTCCCCACGCTCATTACTCAGGCTCTCCCTACTCGCTGTAGTTAGATAATTTATTTCTACAACATCCCTGTGAGGTGAAATACTGTCCCCGCAGAGGAAAAGAGAACTTGAGGCACAAAATCCTTGAGTTCAGAAGGAGCCATGGAGGCGTGGGTGCCCACACTGGGGCCACTGAGCTCTCCTTCCCTCCACACCTGCAGCAGCAGGTGAAGGATGCTGTGCTTTGTGCCATGGTCCCACTCTGGAGCTCTGGGGGTGGATGACAAGGTCCCTGTAGCTGCACAGGGATTTGCACAACTCTGCAAATCTTTTGAAAACTGAATTTTTTTCCTCCTTCAGTTTTCAGATCTAATTGTTCCATGGCATGGGGTGCTGAAGCTTTCTTAAAATATAAGTAGAGACAAAGCAATATGGTATCTTTTGCTGTTCTCCATTATTCTGGCTAGTGAAATCTTCTCTGTGTAAGGGAAGGGGATGAATTTCAGCAAAACTATTGGCAGAGGTCTTGTTTAATCTTCTTCAAGGATGCAGGCACTCTGCAAAACTCACCTATGATGTATGTGAATTACTGAAAGATGAATTGATTTTTGAGGAGCTCTGTAATGGCATCCTTTTTTTCCCCTTTTATTTTTATTTTCCCTTTTATTTTAGTTTCCCTTTTATTTTTATTTTATTTTCCCTTTTAAGAGAATTTCAAATATTATCAATATTACCTGCAGGGATCTCGAAATACGGTGTATGAATTTAAAGACAAGCCTTGTTGAATGGTAGCCCTGCTTTGAATAAGCCCATCAATGAAGAGTGTCCTGCAAGTATAGGAAATGAGTCCTCTGCACTATTACCTGGTTTTAATATTAATTGAAATTATTAATTAGAACGATCGATTGCAAGGTCAGCAGAGCAATAAAACCATTATAGAGTCCCGAGACCTTCTGCCCAAAGCAAATGCCATTAGTAAGTCCAGCAATAATTCATCTCTTACATATGGATTGTTCATCCTCTTGTGACTTGAGTAAGCGGTAGGCAAAAAAGATAGTTAGTACAATTTTCTCAGAAAACAGCAATTTTTCTGCAGACTTTTAACACTTTCTCATGATCAGCCACAGCAGGTGCCTACTTGATTGTGCACCTCCTGCCTCACACATCCATCCTACTGAGCACAGGATGGTCAGGGTCCATCAGGGTCTGTCCTACAGAACCTGCTGCTGCTGCCCTTGCCTGGGAGCTGCAGCATCACACCCTCCAGGGGTACAGGCAGAACTTTTGGCATCTTCATCCCAAAGGATGATGAGAGGAGCTAAGTTTTTTCAGTGTTGGGTTTTCCTCTTTGTCTGAGCAATAAAAACTTTTAGCTGAAAACTGCTAAAAGTTCCAAGGAGTATTTTTGTGTCTCCTTGTGGCCCAGAGCCTGTGTGACAGCTGTAGGGGTATCTGTGAAGCCAGGCATTACAGGATGGCATCACAGTGGAGCTTTGGGGAAGGCACCATTGGCTCCCTTGTTGTGGTGTTAGGTCCCCAGGATGAGGTGAGACTCCATGTTTCTCAGAAGGCTGATATATTATATTATGTTATATTATATTATGTTATGTTATGTTATATTAATCATATCATATCACTATACTAAAAAAGGAGAAAGGAGATAACAAAAGGCTAAACAAGAATGATAATAAAAACCTGTGACAGACTAGAGTCCTGACACAGCTGGACTATGATTGGTCATTAAGTCAAAGCAATTCACATGCTGGGTAAACAGTTCTCCAAATCACATTCCAAAGCAGCAAAACATGTAGAAGCTGAGGCTTCTCATCTTGCCAGGAGAAGAAATCCTGGCTAAGGGATTTTTCAGAAAATATCATGGTGACAGCCCCTCTTGCTGGGATGTGATAGAAAGAGGGTTAAATAATAATGTTAAATGCCGTGTTAAAATAACTTGCATGAGGTGCCCATGACAACTTCTGCTTCTCCAGCTTTGCTCCAAGGCTAAAAGGGAAATATGTGGACAGAGTGAAATAGCAGCAGGATTGTCTTGGTGGGTGCATGTTCCCCCCATATTAATGGGGATGAATCTGAAATAGGCCTTATGGTTCCTTACCTCCTATCCCTGTAAATAGTGCTGCTAAGAGGAAGGGTTCAGATGCCAGGGAATTAACCTGTACCATGATGTAATTGCCCTTTTCTCTCCTGTATAGCTGATTCTGAAGCCAGAGCTGACAAAAAAACACTTCTGTATTGTATGGAACAGCTTGGCTTGTTTGTGCCTTTTATAAATGCTTGCCCTTCTGGCTGCTCCTTCTGCTTGGAATTGTAACTCAGTTGCAATGTATTGCAGTTTTCCTTGATTTCTGTGATCACTGCAGTGGTGCTGGTAACAGAAATCAAACATTTTTGCTGCCTGTTTTCACAACATTCTAACACTGGTTCCCCACAGTTTCCCGTCTTCCCAGCTTCAGTTTCATCCATCGTTTTGTGCTACTTGGTGGCTCTTCCCAGGCCCTAGCTTCACCTGATTTTGTGTGTGTGTTTCTTAGAAAAAGAAACTTTATAACCCACTTAGCTGCAGAGGAGAGCCTACTCAGGCATAATCAAACTGAAAAACTGAGCCTTATAAAAAACAGACCTAAAAACCCTGGAGTTCAACAGAAAGATTCTCATATGCATAATTTTTTAATATCATAAAAATCTCATACATTTTTTATGCCAGTCTCTTCTGAGTTTTGTGAGGTCGATGAATGTTTCATGGAGGTCTGGGAGTGGCATTATTAAGTGTTAATGAGAATCTAGCCTTGATGAACTTGGAGCTCTGTTTCTGCTAAGAAGAGGAGAGGCTGTGAGGAGGGAAAGCTCTGGCAGGAATATCAGGTTCCACCCTTGCCACTTTCTGACTGTGCTTAATGCAAACACTTTGTTAGACTGGGAAATGAGCCTGAGGCATGCTAGGTGCCTCAGGATGTTAGGTGCCAAAAAAGCAATGCAACCACCATAAAAGTGCTAGAATGCTCGATGTTGGTGAATGTTTTGACATGGAACACTCTAATCTAGTTGAACACAGCCCTTCCTTGCTTAAAAATTTGGTTTATGTTCAGTAAATAAAATAAGCTGACATACGTGCATACAAAGCTGCATTCATTGGCTGAAAATTAAAAGCAGAGGAAAAGAAAGTAAGACATAAATCTTAGAAAATATGCACAAAAAATTGCTCTTCAATTTAGTAAATTCTGATGATCACTACACTTTCCCTGACTCTGCAGGATAATGTTGTCAAATTCACATCAATTTATCCAAAACATCCAAAGTTAAGCACTTTTTAAAAACGTGTTTCGGTGCTTTATTGCACACTTATCTTTTTTGCTGGCTGACCTTTATCATGTAAATGTGAAGGGACTTAACTGTGGCAGGCTGTGTGATTCTCTGATCAAGTCATCCTCTTTCAGTGCAATTTATTCCAGCTCTCCAGTTCTGAGATAGGAGGTGAGAAAAGAGTCCTCACATTAAGCAGCTGTGGAGCAAAAGCTGCTGTCAGGTACAGATTTTAAATCCAGGGAAAGCCCAGGAGGCTCAGCCATTTGCAGGCTTTGAGGACAGTCCATAGCTGGGAGTGGACCAACCTCTTATTTCAGCGTGGATTCAGCATGGGAGCTGCAGGCTCTGCTCAGTGAAGAGCCACTTGACTGAATTTGCTTTCTTGGGAGGTTTGGAGTTTGTTGCTCTAGGGCTGTGCTGCTCAGTGAAGGGGGAGAATTGAGAGGAGCATCCTTGGTGCTGGAGGCTCTCCTGACACCCCTCTGCACTGTGCTTGTCTCTTCTGTTCACAGCCTCCCTCCACAAGCACAGCCAACAGCCAGGCTCTGAGGTGGGGGGAAGGAAGGCACCCCCCTTGCTGGTGAGCATGCAGGCAGTGGGTGCACGTGGTCTGACTGTGGAGGGAAGTGGAAACCTTTTTAAGTTGCTCTTTGATCCACAGGAGAAACCTGATTGTTGTTTCAGAACTAGGCTGCCCATAGCTCAGGCTAGACAGAACCCAGCCAGTAGGATGCTGTCTGTAGGCAGGGTGTTTCCAAAGAAAAGATCTGAATTTTCTAGAAGTGTTCAGAGCCAGCAAACCTCCCTGAAAATCTATGCAAAAGGAGAACTCAGTGCATCTGGGGAATCAGCATGATGGCATGTCCCATCAGTCCCAGTGACCTCCACCTCACCCACTGACAATAAATATCCCTGGTTTTAATCTGATTTGTCAGATTTCCCTGCTCTTTCACTACCCTCTGAATCTGCCAGATTTCCCTGCTCTTTCACCACTCTCCCTCTTTCTCCAGCTTCCTTTATCCCCCTGCACTCACTCCCTAGCCATCACACACACAGCAAGCTTTCATTCCTTGTATTTTCCTCACTGCTTGAGGAAAGAACAGCAGAGCTCCAGAGGGGAAAAGTTAGCCAGTGAGATGCTCATTAAACAAATAAATTAGAACATATCCTCTCCCAGATGACAGATATTTCTCAACAGAACCAGCCCAATCCCTGTTGCTGTGTTTTTCCTGGCTGGGCATGCGCCCAGCTGGGGACTCAGTGGCATTGCACAGGCACCACTTTTTGCAGGTGTTTCATGGGTAGCAGAGGCATGGGGGAAAGCTGTCTGAACTGCTCTGGGATACCAGATGGCAGCTATAGCACATCCATGCCATGGGGTCAAATTTCAGCCTCTTGGAAGGTGGGATGGGTGTGGACTCCCCAAGCTTCCCCTGCAGTGATGGAGCTGTCCCAGAATGCAGGGGTGCAGCAAATGGTGCTGACAAACTTTCTGCCATGGCTAAGAAACCTCCTTCTCTTTCAAGGAACGGCTCAAGGAGGCTGAGGAGGTCTATAAGGCTGGCATAGAGAATTGTCCAGAGAGCTCCGACCTGCACAACAACTACGGTGTTTTTCTGGTTGATACCGGTAAGTGAGAGGGAGCACGGGATTTTTCCCTCTCTGTCTGCTTTGCTTTGATTTATTTTATTCAGCAGTGCACATCTAAAAGGGTGTCAAAAGCTTCCAAGGCAATGTGCCTCCATGGTAGCTTGGAAATAAATATCCCTGTGCTGCTGAGAGGGCACAGCACACTGGAATTCGTAATCAGTGCAGGCACTGTGCAGCAGGAGCATTCATTCAGCCCCCCTGCTCCCCTCAGTGTTTGTCACCATCTTCACACAGGCAGTTGGCCTCTTCAGTGTGAGCTGGGCAGCACCCTGACAGTACTGCCTTTTTTCCAGCAAGGCATGGCCACATCAAATCAAATCACAGGCACACAAATGGATCATTATGGTCTCTGGAGCACGTGCAGCCCTACTTGGTGACAAAGCAGCTCTTTGACTGTAAGGCTTGAGTGCCACCACTATAGAAAGGAACATGGCTTTTAAACCACAATCATCTGTGAAAACAAAACCTTATACACTGTGGGGTGAATTGATTTTTGAGGAGCTCTGTAATGGCATCCTTTTTTCCTGGGTTCCTGGTTCCCATCCAACTTCCTTGGCACTTTCTGGCATTCACATAACAGCAACGGAAACATCACTTTAATTGCCACCTTTTATTGACAGCTTTATAAGCAAAGCTAAGTTTGACAAATGACTAGTGGAAAAGGACTGTTGTCTCACTGTGGTCCCTCCAGAACAGAGCCAAGACTCAGTGGTGAAACAGTGTAGGCTTGAAGTGTGTGGTTGCCACCTCTTCTTTCCCAATCACACGTGTCCAGTTCCAGTGGTGCTTGGGAAGAAGGGATGATGGTGTCTGTCAGTCTGCAACTGGCTGTTCTGCCTCTGAATTGACTCTTGGCCATCATCCCTCTGTAGTACCAGTGTGAAACAAGTACAAAACCAGAGTCAATATTCATAATCAAAAGAGGCATTGTGGCCTTAGCAAGAGAGGTTCAGGTTCTGAATTTGGGCCCTGGCAAAATTCAAGCTTGCAAATAATAAAAATTCCTGAGTAATTTCCCTCTCATGTTGTACTCATCTTTGCTTGCCAACCCAGATAAACTGTCCTATTCCTGCCAAAATTTGTGGTTCAAATGTAGTGCAGAGCGCTTTCTGTTTTTTTGCACTTTCGTACTCTGCCAAAGTCAAAACTATCATTTCCTGGTTTACTCCTACGCTTCCCTACAGACAAACAACTGGAAAAAATCCCACTGACTCCTGCTCCTTGGGGCCTGATGTGCCAATAACCCTGCTAGAGGCATGACAAGGCGTGAAGGCAGTGGCTGCTGCTGAGCCTGTCACTGGCTGCGCTCCGCGCCGGCGGCACAGGGAGATGCTGTGGAGCACCACGCCAATTAACGCAGGGTTCTGTGCAGCAAGTGCCAGCTCTGGGGAGCCACAACTGCAGACAGCTCTGCAGTGGTCACAGACACTGAGTGTGTCTCCCTTAATGATGCATATTAACCCTGTGTGCTGAGCAGAGGAGGCACTGCCTGGCTGAGGGGCTGCAGTGCGTGCCCAGCTGCTTCCCACGATGTTTTGTAGGTATAATTTTCAAAAGCATCTGCCTGCTCAGTGGTGGGGAAAGATCGAGGCTGCTGCTGGATGTTTTGAAAAAGTGGTACCTTGAACAACATGTCCTCAGCCTTGGCTGAGTCTTCAACACTTCTAAACCTCTGCACAGATGTTCCTCCTCACTCCTATAAAGGAGATGCTGAGATGTGCCAGTGTATATTTTAAGTTGCATAGATAGTCTCAAAAAAACTAAATTAGATCTGTGAAGATATGAAAACAAAATTCCCACAGCAGCATGTTCAGTGCCCCAACATGTACTGGCTTTTTTTGAGATCTGTTTTCCAGCTTGAAATGGAATTAAATACATTGTGAAGTGAATTGGTTTAAAAAAAATGCCAACACTGAAAAGCTTTGTTGGTGACAAAGCTCTTTTAGTATGGTTTTCATCAGGAGATTATCTGGTCTGGAGTTTGCAAGCCAAATAAATGACCCTGGGATTAAAAACGCAATATTTGCATTGCTTTAATGCTGGAGCTTTATACTTCTACCATTATTTAGCTAAATAACGATACATTATTAAAAGTAGAACTTTATGCATTGGGGTAGTGATCTTGCACCTCTCTTTTTGCTTGTGTTTTGTTGTGGTGTTGGTGATGTCATGGGCTGCAGGACCTTGCACATTTTCACACAGAGAAGCAGTGCCACCCAATGGCTCCTGTGCAGCACAGAGTTGGTGCCTACGTGCTCCAAAACAGCCACCTGGACACCTCTGCTCTGGGATTTATTGCCCAGAGTGGGAATTAGCTGGTCCCTGGCAGCTACTCCCAGTCCTGTTGAGCAATACACAGAGACTGAGCTCAGAGCAGCAGCACAGCAGAGCTGGAGGGAATAATCTCTGTTTGGAGAGAGCTGAAACTATTTGCAGTTCTGGTGGTGTTGTGGGGAATACTGGGGGGCTTGTTCTTCATTCTTCATTGCCCATTTCTCCTGTGGGCCAGGGTGAAAAGGATGCTCCACCAGGAGATGGCACATGTGCCCCAGCCCCTTCCCTGAGGTGGGCTCTGTCCTTAGCACAGGGGTTGTGTCCCCACTGCTGCATGATCAAAGGGTGCTTTCAGTCAGGAGTCATCTTGTTGTGACTGGATCCTTAACTTGCAAAAAACCCACCCCTAGAAAATCTATTTCTCAGGATTGTCTCTGAATATTGGGGACTAAATTTTAGTTTGGACAGCAGTTTCTCTTATGCTTAGATTCAAAATGCTGAGGCAGGATTTCTTTCTCAAAATGTTTCCATGCTGTCTTAGTTTAAGTAAAATTTGGGAGGAATCCTCCAAAGGGGTTCCTCTAGAAAGCAGATTTAAGTGGACCCTCCCGCAACTGGTTTGGGAAAAGATTTCCTTGGAGAAAAGTGGAAAAAACCCTGTTTATTTAGCAGGCAATGCATTCACCAGCACAAAAAAATGAACAATATTAAACAATAAAACCTCTTGCTGCTCCAAAGAGATGACAAACTCAGCAAGTCCCTTGGTGGGCAGTAGCTCAGCTCACTCAGTCTCTGATCAGTCCCTCCAGCGCTGGAAATGCCTCGGCCCAGGCCCGGCCCAGTGCCCACAGCTGGAGCTGCCGGTGCTCTGCTGGGTATTCTGTCCAGAGCAGGGTTAAACAGGTCCAGGAGAAACAAAAACCACAGTGCAGGGAACTTCTCTGCCTCAGCTATCTAAAAACTAACTAAAGGCAAAGGAGAGCTCTGTCCTGCTGTCTGCAGACAACACAGTCTGTGAGAGGGATGTGGGTAAGCAAGTGCAGTTCCTGATAACAAACTCTGCCCTTATTCTCTCTCCCCCTTCACTCTCAGAAGGTCTTAAAGATGCAAAACTTATTCCTGGGCTAAACAGATAAGTGGGGATAATACAAGCACCATAAAGTCACCCCAGGACACATGCGTAGAGCAATAGAAGAAAGAAAGCCTGAGTGTTACCATGTGCTGAGTTTGAGACAATTTTTTTTCTGATGCACAGGGTTTTTTTCTGGTTTAATGGCTGTTTTCCTCTCTAGGGTCTCCTGAGAGAGCCATGTCCCACTACAGGCAGGCCATCCTCCTCAGCCCTGCTCACCATGTGGCCATGGTGAACCTGGGCAGGCTTCACCGCTCCCTGGGGCAGAACAAAGAGGCTGAAGTGTGGTACAAGAGGTGAGGATTTGGCCTGGGAGACAGAGGGGTTCCTCCTGCCCCTTTATGGCTTGTCTCTGCTAAAGAGTTTCTGTTATGCAGATATATCTGTGCATGTGTGGGGTTTCCTCCCTTCATTCTCCATCTGTTTGAAATAGATTTGACTATTTTTGGGGAGTGCTTGGAAAGGCAGCATGGGCTCAGGCAGTGTTGATTTCCCTGGACTATTCCCAAGCCCCCAGGATGGACACTGCTGCTTTTGGCTGGGGGATGCTCTGATGATAAAGTTGGAGGTTTCTTAGTGGCCGGAGCAGGCTGTATTACCACAACTCCCAGCCTGCTTGAAGGTGATCTGTGATTGCTGCACCAGGAGCAGCCAGAAGTGCTGCACAGCTCAGCACCAAACCTTTGGCACCATTAGGAACTCTGGCCCTTCCCAGCAGTGTTCCAGCAGTCGGGCTCTGACTCCTGGTATGCAGCAGGATGGGTTGGGTGGGAGTATTTTTGCCTTCTTTTTGGCATATAGATTTGTGCTCACATTGCCCAGGTTTCATTGCTGTCAACCATCCCCACCCCTGCTGCAGGCTCATTGAGGGCACTTTGAAGGTGGCTCCTTCTCCTTCTCCTTCTCCTCCTTCTCCTCCTTCTCCTCCTTCTCCTCCTCCTCCTCCTCCTCCTCCTCCTCCTTCTCCTTCTCCTTCTCCTTCTCCTTCTCCTTCTCCTTCTCCTTCTCCTTCTCCTTCTCCTTCTCAGCTGGCTAGTGGGATTACTGCTGTGAGCACATTCATCCCTCCCCAGGCAATTTGTACTTCCCAGGCTGGGATGGTGCAGAGCTTTAGTTCTCCGTCCACCACAAGCCCACCTCACTCTTCCCCTTTGCTCCTCCCATGACTGAAGCTTGCCTTTTTCCCAACGCCAGGGCACTGAAGGTATCCAGGAAGGCGGAGATCCTGTCCCCGCTGGGGGCCCTGTATTACAACACGGGGCGCTACGAGGAGGCGCTGCAGGTCTACCGGGAGGCGGCGGCGCTGCAGCCTTCCAGCAAGGACACCCGACTGGCGCTGGTGAGCGGGGGCCAGGGCAGCAGCAGCCTCTGCCTGCAGCCCAGCCTGTGGCAGAGGGCTGAGATGATGTCCTTGTTCAGGGAAAATTTGGGAGAAAACCCCCAGAAAGCCAACCCACGCGTCCCCTCCCCGCACCTGATTCGGGAAAAATTTCCTCGGATAGAATGGAAAGAACTGTTTGTGTAACAGGCAAAGCACTTCCCAGCACACAAAATGAACAATACCCCATGACAAAACTCATTTGCTGCTCTGAAGAAATGACAAATTCAGAATGTCTCTCTGGTGGGTGGTCACTCTGTTATCAGTCCCTCTGGAACTGGGAAAGGCTGAAGAGTGGGCCCTGGCAGGCTGCAAAGTGTGAGCTCTTGGTGTTTTCCTGGGTCCCGGTCTGCAGCAGGTTCAAATGGTTCCAAGAAAAGAGAAAGAAAAACAGTCCAGGGAAAGCTAGGAGTGCCTCAACTAGCTAAACTAACTAAAAAGCAAAAGGAGCACGGTGTTCTGCCCCATCCGTGTCCATACAACAACAGTGTTCCAGCAGACTGTGGAGGAGTGAGTCCAGTCCCTGATAACAAAACTCTGCTGCTTCTTCTCCCCATCTTCACTCTCAGGCACAGAATATAATATCCAGCATAAACAGAACACCTGACTGGGGATATATGGTGTTACATTTTAGTTAAATGGTATGCTCTATCTCACCCCTCGAAAATGTACAGTTTATTCCAAGCCTGTGATCCTCCCCTGAAGTATCATGTATCTGTAATCCCATTGGCTCAAGGCTTGTTCCGCGCCCACTTTGAATCTCGCTGTTCAGCTGTGTGGGGGAGATGAGAATCTCTCTTAGTCCTTTCCTCCCTAGGCTCTCCCTCCCTCCCCCTTTCCTCCTTCTCCCTCAGAAACCATGCTGCTCCCGGGGGTGGGATCTCCTTGTCTGCTTGCTGCTACCAGCAAACATACAGCTTAGGGGCCCCCCAGAGATCCCCTAAATGAACTGCATCAGGGATACAAGCGTCATAACATCCCCCTAGGACAGCTGGTCAAGAGTGTAACACTGTGGCTCTGTTACAGGCTCAGGTTCTGGCAATGATGGGGCGGACGAAGGAAGCCGAGAAGATGACGAACCACATCCTTCATGAGGATGCAGAGTGCCTGGAGTGCTACCGCCTCCTGTCAGCCATCTACAGCAAGCAGGAGCTCTATGCCAAGGTACCATGGTGTGGGATACCCTTGTCCCAAGGGCTCACACACAGAACTCAGGTTGAATTTTACACTCCATCTCTCTGGGGACAAGTCATGTGCCTCAGCGCACATTCATTGGATTATTTCTTCACTAAAACCTTCAGTTTATCTATGTATTAAGACCGAAGCTAAGCAGTGTGGTTTTCTTGTCACTGCTGCTGTCAGCCCCAGTGCCCATCAGCCCCAGGCTGTCTCAGAGTCTCTGTGGTCAAGATGACCCCGAGATGTTGGAAAGTCTCTTTTTCCCAGCCCCACAATTGAAGAAGGAGTCAGGATTCCTCAGCTCTGGTTTTCAAAGTTGTTTATTTTCTCTTATCTAATACATTCTTTTTCTGACCTGCTGAGGTCTGTCTAGCAGGTTGGTCCGTGGCACACTGCACACCCCTGAGGGGGTGTTAGTTTTTTATACTAAGAACTATGTGTACTTTATTTACAACAATTTTCCAATACCTGTCACCTATGTTAGACAGTCTGTTCCTACTCTAAACCAATCCAAAAGTGCCACCATCACACAGAAGATGGAGACTAAAAAGAAGAAAGAGGAAGGACAAGGCACGCCCAAATCCCTCTATCTTGGCTTCTGAACCCCCATTCTAAAAACCCCAAAATTCTAGTTTTCATCCTGTGATAAATTAACTATCATTCTACTTAAACTCTCGTGGCTTGTAGATCTTCACATAAAGTTGGTAATTTTCTCCATGGGTTTAAATCAAAGCCACAGGTGTCTTTGGCTCTGTGCCAAGGCCTCTGAGCCCCCAGCCAGGGGCTCAAGCCATCCAGGGCAGCCAGAGGGATGTCCTGGGTTCCAACACAGGCATTTAAAAATCACGTTTCCCTGTGTGTTAATGGTGTGGGGCAAACAAAGGATGGAGGAAAATGATTCTTATGCTGGTAGTCCATAGTGCTGAGGAAAGAATGAGAAGTGGGAAGGAACTGAATGGAAGGCACACAATGTCCTCTTGCTTTTTCACAGGCACTTGAAGCTATAGAAAAAGCGCTTCAGCTAAAACCAAAGGATCCAAAAGTCATATCAGAGCTCTTTTTCACTAAAGGAAACCAGCTAAGAGAACAGAATCTCCTTGACAAGGCTTTCGAGGTATGACTGCTCTAAGACCTACCGGTGGTTTTATAGGCTAAAAGACAGAGTTTGCTCCTTGTGTGTGAAACTCCCTGGTGCATACACCCTGGTTGCTGTTGGCCTTGGGAGCTCAGAGTCTATCACTGGTACAGAGAAAGCTATGAGGCAGCTAACTTTACCAGACTTAATTGCAACTTTTTTCCTCATTCCTGTATGGAAATACTGCTCCCTGCTCTGAGAGGTTAAGTACAGAATTGTGGTGGGATTCACCTTTGCTCCATCCAGCCCCAGCCCCTCCTGCTGTCAGTGACCAGCTCCAGGTGGCTCAGCTGGAAGCTTGGGGAGCTGTCAGAGCTCACCATGTTGTTATATCTCACTTCAGAAGCCAATAACTGAGAGGCTGGCTTATCCTGTGAAAAAGGATGCTTGATAGCTCAGAAATTATGTAAGCATTAATAATAGTGCAGAAACAACCTGGTCTAGTGGAAGGTGTCACTGCCTGTAGGAGGGGAGCTGGAAGTAGATAATCTTTAAAGTCCCTCCCAACCCATTCCATTATTCTCTGATTCAGAAAATATTAATTGGACTGTTCTGAATATTCTCAATATCCCTAAAGATGTTTAATCCTGATTTGAAAATCCTTTCCTGTTGTGACAGTGTAAAAACAGTGCTGCTTGACAGACTCCAGAAGGTCCTAATTGCTTCCACTCTCAGTGTCAGTGGGGAAGGAAAGCACTGCCCTCAGGTCCTTGTGAAACCTCCACACAAGTGGCTGTCCCAGAGTCTGCTGCCAGCTCCAAGTTAAAGCCTTGCAGATAAAGAGCAATCACATGGCTTGTAGTTGGCAGGGCTTGTGCTTGGCACTGCCTAAGGAAATCACCTTGATGTGCAGGAGACCCCAGTGGTGTAGTGGGCAGGGTGGCAGGTGTGGCTCCTCTCAGAGTGCAGGAAAAACACACATTGGCAAGGAAAACCTGTGAGATTAACTGAGCCATGAAGCAGCACATTCTGTGCCTCTTCTGCAAAGAAACTGAAATTCACTTTGTTGTATATGAGAGGAATTTGAATTCCATTCTGAATGGCTTCAGGAGAGGAAACTGTGTTTCTCTTTCCCCTCCAGCACTGGTTTTGTTTGAAGAGTCAGACTCCTAACCTAGAAATGTTTCCTGTTTCTGTAGAGCTATAAACGGGCTGTGGAGCTCAACCCAGACCAAGCACAGGCCTGGATGAATATGGGAGGCATCGAGCACATCAAGGTATGACAGTTTTGGTTTTCCTTAAGCTGCCAGGTGCAGACATTACTTCACAGGACAAAAAGTTAAATTGGTTTCAGACTGCCAAGAGTTGCATGTTTGTAAACAGCAAGTCCCTTGACATATTTTATCCAAAAAGGAAGGAAGTCTCTTCACCCCAGCTAGAGTTCCCAACCAGGTTTCTTGGTAAAGCAAATCTCATATTTTTAGAGTGCAGGCTGCAAGGAGCAACCTGCTCCTCTTAAAAGCTTTCCTGCTTCAGTTGTTGACCTACCTTAGAAAAATGTCACCGTGAGTTGACTTTTAAGGTTCTTCTCTACCTAATTAATTTAATAAATATGTCTAATGCAGAATACTGGCATGAAATTATGGAAATAGGCAGCCTACCCTGTGGTTGCTTATTCTTTTGAATACTTTAGCATATCATTATGATTTGGGTCTTAAGGAGTCACATTGTGTGATGTCCTTAAGCTATCCTGTTGCTGAGTAAAATTAACTCTTCTGGTGCAACTCAACAGAAAAATGTAAATCTATTTCTTGCTGTGTGAGTTTCATCAAATTTAGGTCAACAGCACTTGGTGATCTATTTCATAAAGAAGAAGTATTTTTGTAACCCAGCAATGTCAGGTATTTTAAACTCTGTTTCCCCTGTATCTCGTTTTTCACTTTACCCTGGGAACAAACTTTCTGTGTGGAACGTGAATGAGACCTAGCACTCATTTTCTTTGCAGGGGAGCTACATCACTGCCCGTGACTACTACGAGAAAGCCTTGCAGCTGGTTCCAAACAGCAAGCTGCTGAAGGAGAATCTGGCCAAACTGGATCGCTTGGAGAAACGGTTTCAAGAAGTCCAGGAGAAAGACCAAACATAGCAATCAGTCACCAGCAGGAGGACACTCGTGCCCCTTGGAGAAGAGTGTGGTGGAAGCCTGTTGCTCAAAGTGATGCTGAAGGAGCTTTGATAGGACTCAGAATTATGGAAGGCAAACTTCGAACGCATGCTTAGGTTCAATCAAAGTTACAGGATCCTGTGGGATCATGGGATCCTTGGGTGCTGTGGGATATGCTGGAGCATGAATGAAAACCTTCCTTTAATCAAGATTTACGTCTAGGCTGAACCCGTTCTAGTCACACCGGGAGTGTGGGTGGGACATGTACCTTCAGTATCTTGGTTGTCACCAGGGAAACCATGGAGACAAAGCACTCATCCATTGCAGCAGGGGTGAAGGAGCACCTCCTGTTCCTCCACACACAGGCTCACCTCATCCATGTAGAGCACCACTGATGGGCTTCATTGCAAGTGCTGCAGACAGGAAAGATGGTCATACAGGTCACATAAAAAAGGTTCCAAGGGGTTAATGCTGAGGAAATGGTGGTTGCTTTTACAGCTCTAAATGGGACTTGAAAATTATTCAAAAGAAAGGGGAAACTATTTAAATATCACCCTGGAAGGATGATTCTACAAGTAGGACAGATGATCCTTTGAGGGAAAACCTAGCCTGAATGTTTTATTCATTAGACAATAATTTTGTAGTAATTCAGGTTCATGATGTCACTTTTGTCAAATATCATATGGCTTTACCCTTTGCCCTCTCCCTCCAGGCCAAATAATTATTACTCTGAAAAACACTGAAGCATCCAAAGGCAATGGGAAGCTCTAGGATTACTTGTCCTCCTGCTCAGTCCCCAGTATGGAAAACAAACAACCTATCTAATCAATATAAGAGGTAAAGTAAAGCCACAGGGAGATTAGGGAACATTTCCTAGCCTGGAAAGGTACGAAGGAGGCTCTTTTATGGGTGTGCAGGGACAAAGCCCATTTATCATGGTGATAACACTGACAAAATACTTGGCCAAAGTGTTCTCACCACTCCCCTAAGAGATACAGAAAATGACCTATAGCTGATCAGTCATAAATCTATATTTTTAAATACTGATGTGGGAAAACAGATTCTCTTCAGAACTGAGGCTTTTATTTTTGAGCTTTATTTATTTAACTTATAATAATCAAATAATTAATATATTTTCTCTGTTTTATATGAATTGGGCAATATCCCTCACAGCTGGCCACACAGTTGGGCATTGTGACTCATATTGTCTGAAGTTATGAAAAGGGAGTATCAGTGAGGCGTGCTGGAATAATTCCCTCTCATGATTCTAAGTGGCTGCAGAACACTTTGGACCACACTGGCCCTGCAATAGCAGCACTTCTGCTGCTTCCACCAGGGTTTGCACCAGTTCCCAGGGAGCATTAGTGGGATCTGCTTCCTGCCTTTGGGTTTGGACACCAGGGTCAGTCACCCGTTGTTCCTCTTGCAGCACTAAACTGCTGGAAAAGTTGCTTTGTTTGAGCTTGACTATGGTCAGCAGCCCGGGGTTTGGCATTGTTAGTAAGTACAGTTCAGGTAGGTGTACAGTGCCCTAAAAAACATCTGTCAGGAAAAGCCTGGCACTGCTGTGGTGCCCAGATTCAGCTGGCCATGGCGCTTCAGCACTCTCCAAGTTCCCTCAGTGGGATGGCTCAGCCACGTGCTGGAGGGAGGTTTTTCTGGCTTCCTTTGAAAGCCTGGTGTCTTGCTGCCCAGGTGATGGTCAGGTTACTGAGGAATTATTGATGTGACTCCAACTGTGTTTGGAGCTCACAGGTGGTGCAGTTGTCTGCCCTGCCAGGGTTTATGGACCTGCCAGAGCCATGGCTGTGCATCCACAGAGACCAGGCTGGATGTTCCCCACCGGCCAAGGAGAGCAGCCAGCTACAGCTGGGCAGAAGTGAAAGATTGCTGGGGGACAGAGGTGGCAGCACAAGTGTTTGGGCTCTCTCCCTCCAAACCAGCTTCCAGGGGAGCACTGGGATCAGAATAAGCAAGTTGCTTCACTGTTGAGTTTTCTCTGCTCCTAGCCCAAACAGCCTACTTTACTTCATGGGGCCAGGGGCAGGTTTGAGCTCCTGGGGCTGGCTCAGCACCCCTGTCTTGTTTTTTCACACAGCTGTTGTGGCTCTGTGGACTGGCTGAACTGACATTTCATTTCTGCGGGTCCCCAGTGCGGGTGCTCTGCTGGCTGCCATGCACACGGCAGATCTGCACACCCCTGGGCTGCCAGGAAGGTCTGGAGGAGCTGACATCATGCTAGCACAGTGCCATGGGATGGGGACACCAAAGCTTAAATGGCCTCTGACAGCAATCACCTCCCCAACATGCATTGCAAGGTCACAGATGGTTCCTTGCTGGGGTATTCAGAGGTACCTGGACCAGAAAGCTCTGTGCCTGCCCCCAAGGTGAGCCTGTCTCTGGGACAGCTTCCCAAAGGCCTGTGTGCCCAGGCTGGCTGTGCTGCAGTGAATCTGGGGGCTGGCAGAGCAGTGTTTGGTGCTGCCCTGACAGTGGAACCATGCAAAGCCCCCCAGGGAGGAGGCATCTGCAGAGTGCTGCAGCAGCCAACTGAAGGTCAGTGGTAGCATGGGGGGAGATGTGCCTCCTTAAAAAATGTGTATCAGCTATAAACTTTGCCTCAAAAGATATATTAAATAAATACTATATATTATACAGGCCTCACTGCAGTTTGTGGCTTTAAATAGTGGCCAATGAAACATATTTTTTCAAATACAGAAGTTGTATTTTTTATAGCAATGCTTTGTGAGGGGGAAGACTTAGTTTTATGTTTTTAACTTCAGCATAAATCTTAGTTTGTCTTTCCTGAGAGACCTGGTAGAAATTACTGTCTCCTGCTTGTCCTAAAACCTGATCAAAGCGATCCTGACCTCCTAAAACTCGTGTATGTGTAGAAGTGTAATACAGCTTTGGATGCTCCCCTCCCAGATCCTGGAGAAGGATTGATTACCATTTGTGCAACACTGTCTTACTTGCAGAAAATGGAGAAAGATGCCCCAGTAAGGGAGGTGGTTTGTTGGAAGGCAAGGCATATCCACTTGCCTGAACCAGACTGGTAAGATAGCCAGGGATTTTAATGCCAGTTACAGCAGTTTACATTTCCGTGCTGAAAGGCCGGTCCTCCACATCCTGGAGCTGGGTTTGTAGTTCTGCAGAGAGGAGAGCTCAATAATGAGCCCCACGTTCCTGAACCAGCACTTTATACCCCATCTATGCAGGATGACACTCTGCAAACTGGCAGCAGATGGGGAGAATGGCTCAGACCATGGGCTGTCAGAGCAGTTAAAGCCCTGTGAAGCTCTGAGCTGACTCCCTGTCCTGTTGGCACCCATGCTGATGCCCTGAAGTGTTTGTTCAGGGCATCAGTCATGTCAAAGGTTCATTGCAGGCAAAGAAGAACGGAGTATGATATGAAATGGGTTACCTCCACCAACATGGAATGCAATTGTGCAAGGTAAATCAAGCAACTTACCTTGTGATAACTTTATATTATCCTAATTAATCATAGGAAATGTTCTCTTCCTCTAGCATTGCACAGCTTCTAAAACAAAGAGTTATAAATACATTGTTTTCTACCAGTTCCAGTGCTCAGCATGGTTAGCAGAGATTGCAGATTAATAAATGGCTGCAGATCTGCCTGGTGGGGGAGAAGAGTTCATGCTCTCTGCAAGTTGCATTGGATAAACCTCAATGCTCACTAATTTTAAAGCAGAGAATTAATGGAAAGCTGGTTAGACAGGACTCTCATGTACTCACTGTACATTTTAATCCTAAATGAGAAACATAATAATTGTGTTGCTTTTTCCTTTCCCCATGGATAATATTTGCAGCTGATGGATTTTATTTTATTGCTTATTTAAATTCCAGTGTTCTTTGCTTCCATCCCTTTTCTGTCTCCCAGGATAAATTATGCAGTGGGGGGTATTTTCTTTCTCTCATGGACTCCTTGGACTAGATTTTCCTACAAATGTGCAGGCAATTTGTAGGAAATTTGTTTTGGCCAAACAGTAAGTGAATGCAGCAGTGCAAATGGCCTTCATTCCAGAGGAGGACAAGGGGCTGGGCATGCATGCATGGGAGTAGAAAGATGTACAAGTCAAAAAAATTCAAAATAGAGAGGCTAACTTGCAGGGGAGGCTGGATGCCCCTAAAATGATCTAAAAACTATGAAAGCTTCTCCACAATTACAGAAATCAGGCCAGATATGGTGTACAATATTGGTGAAAGAAGATAATGGTCAGTCTAATTTATTAATTAAGCAATTTATAATATTATTATATGGTCTTTTGCCCCATTTGTCCTCCAGCTCATTGAAACAGCTGGTGTATGCTTAAGTCTCTTCAATCTTTATGTGATTAAGTTGACCAAGTGCTCAATTTCTATCTTTCATATATGCAATTATGCACAATCTTTCAAAAAATTAGCCCTTAGAGGGCTTTTCCCCCAACCTTCAGTCTCTTGCAGCAATTTCAAAATGCACCATTTTGCTTTCATGTACATTTAAACCCAGCAGCAAAAGATAAAAAAAAAAGAAAAAGAAAAAAAACAGCGCTTGGCATTCACTGGTGTTTTAATGTGGCAAAGTTGCTTCAGGTAACCTTGATAACTTTGTGCAAAAGTTCATTGCCATGTTTGTACTGACTTGCTGAGATTTTTTTCTTCTGGAAAATACCCCCAGTGGTATCCTCTGTAAAAGTTACAACTGTAACACAACTGTATTACTGTAGAAATCTCTGCCTGAAGTGGATGTCACGCTGTGTGTTCCTCTCATGCAGGAGTTGTTTGCATTGCCTGTTGTTCATATGGTTCTTATTTCTGTATCTAATTTTTTAAATTAGCTGTGCATCTCTTTTTAAGAAAGAAAGAAACAACCAAACAAAAACAAAACCACAAGAAAACAGCCCGTGGATTAGAAATATTTTAAAAATAAATTCACTCTTAGCAGCAGCTGGATGTATGTCAGTGATGCAGGAATTTGCAAAGTCTTTGCTTTTTTTCACGGTGGGATTTATGGCTAGATTTCACATCAAGGAGTTATGCTCGAAGTCTTTGCAGAAGAAAATGTATGTAAATGTCTATTTTATATAAAAAGTAAGAAAAGTAGGTGCTGTGCCTGGTTTCGTTCTTTTTCTTTAGGACCAGCCATGAACAAGTTGTTCTGGAGGTGGAAGGGCCGAAGTTTCTTACTCCACTTGATTTATATTTTATGTGCCCTGAATTCCAGGTTATTGGTCATGTAGGAGCAACTATGCAGCATGTGTGTTTGAGTCTGGGCATATAAAAATGTTGGAGCAGGCATTTTTTGGAGCCTGAGCATGAGGAAAGATGTGGGCTGGTGCTCACACAGCCTTGATGATTGAACATGTTATATTGACTTAAGCTCTACATGTCAGGCTTTATGCCTCTGTCAGGAATGTGTCAAACAAATCCACAGAGTGCAAAGAGAAAAAAACTGAGATTAAAAATAAACTAATTTTGTTGTAAATCCCTTCTTCCTGGCACACATTCCTGCATGCTTCCAGGGTTTGAGTTCGCTTGGGATAGTAACAGTGATAAACACCTCTATTGAAAATGGACCCGAAAGAGACTCAAAAGCCCTGAACACATGCCATGGTGTTTCCTGCTCTGTAGCATGAAGGGGAATTGTATGCTCTGAAGTCAGGCTGTGCACCCTGAAGTTCTCCCAGATCCCAACAGCAAAGCTTCTACCCAGTGCCCACCTGGGTCCTCTGCAAGGCCTGAGGCACCTCAGGTCTGGTGGCAGTGATGGGGTGGACATTAGATGCTGCTGCTGCCCATGGAAATGGGCAGTGAACTCCAAACAGGTGAGACATGGTGTGAGAGCCTCCAAACCCAGCTGTGCTGCAGCCCTGCAGCCTCAGCTGCTAGCACTGATTGACCCCCATGGCCATTAAAAGGGCTCATCAGGTGAGTTGTTCCTCCTGTGAGAGGTGGAGCAGGGCTCCAGCACTGGTCACTTTTCCTGAGCTGTGGTGGGAGCAGGATTCCTCTCTGCTTGTGTGCCTTCTATGTGGTGAGTCCTGTCTGTGGGGAGGAGTGCCCCAGTGTGGGGTTTATGGGGGTGAGCATTGGTGTCATCTGCTCTTTGGAGGTACCAAAAAGGTGAAAGTAGCCAGTCAGTGTCACAGGTTGTGCCAGGGCTTGGTGTGTTTGCCCTGGTGAGTGATTTTTAGGCTGCCTTTGCTGTAGCTGTGTGGGGACTGAGAGCCTCTAGTGCCCTCTCTGTGCTGGTGCTACTTACCACAGCCCTCCTTGGCCGCTGAGGTGAGTGACCCATTCCTCTGCCCAGCTGCCATGTGGTCCATTGGCTGTGAAAGAAAGACAAATAGTTTGGTCCTGCTGAGCTTGGGAACTGCTCTCCCTGAGGCACCAGGTCAAACTCTTCTTGCACATCCCCCTGCAGT